AATGGAAGCCACATCGCTCTAGCGCTGCCTAATGCAGAATTTCTGGAAAGCGAACATTCTCGTAGTCTAGCTTAACCTCGGCTTAATCAATCACTTTCCAATTTGCACTCAATTGGTTTTCCAGAGTCTTCGCGTAGCCCAACATATCGTCCAACCACGCGATCACCCCGTGTAACAATAGATCAGTGAAAATCAGGTTCGCCGCTAACTGGCAAAGTGCTACGGCATCTGTCTGCCCCATCAATACACGTGTCGGTGTGTAGAGGCCTTGCGGGGTCATAAAGTTGTAGTAGTCTTGCGAGTCCTCGTGCAACGCAAGCTGACAATACCCTTTAAACCAATCCAGCCTGAACAACGCCTCCGACCCCACCAGGACCGTCAGCGCCGCGTCAAGATTTGGCATTTGCGAGGGTATGGAGACCGTGCAAGCGTTGATCGGCCTACTGTCAATGGCCATTCGATGCTCCCCACCCTTCTTCGGGACGATACGGGGTGCCGCTGCCCAAAGTGCGCGGTGGTTTCGGTTAACATGTCCAGCAGCCTCCAAATCGCCCACATGCCCCCTGAAGAACTGGACATGCGCTGAAGCATAGTGACGCAGCCTACACTTTACCGGCGCCGAGTCGGGACGCAGTCGCACTCGCAGTGGATCGACAGCGATGGGGGGTCATGTCGGACTTGAAGGCGGAACATGTCCACATGTTTCTCCAACAGCTGCCCAAGCTTCTCCGCCAAGACTAGAGCTACGACTTCATCCCTCGCTTGCTCCAGCTTGGTCGCCAGCACTTGCTTGACCGCCTCTTCTCGTCATGCGACCTTAGGGTCATTCGTCCCTTTTTGCGAAGGACGCGAATATCGGCTGAGGCGCACAACATCCCATCTTCGGGGTCGACGCCGTCGTCAATGCTAGCGGCCAGAAGTCGCCGCATGTTTGCCAGGCCAGTGAACGCACCGGCATCGCTAATGTCCCATTCCACTTGTTTCTGACACGCCGCCGTCAACAGTTCACCCTCAAAAAAACCCTTCCGCTCAATTACCGATCTGCTAAGCAGAATAAGGCATCGCCGAAGTGTCGAACCAGGCCTTCAACCCTCGTAGGGCTAGCCGCCCACACGGCGTCTCCAACGTGACGCACTTGAGCTGCACTTGGCGTGCCACCAGTATCGGTGCGTACGGGCCGTAGGGGTAGATCTCGATCGGCTTGGTGTCGACCACCCCCATTATCACATTTCGCCGTTCCATCTGGCACCGGGCTGAGTGTCCCAAGCTGTACATTTTCTTTTGCTCTACTTTCCATTTTGCCAATGGCCTTCCAACAGCTTCTCTGCCTTGCCCGGTTTGGTCAACGGATAGTTTGCCATGCGGTGATAATTCTTCTTGCACTTTAGCATGGGGCCTTAAGCCGCGACCCAGCCGAACTTTGCGTGCCGTTACCAGTCACTTTAAGTGCCTCCTTGGGCGCTCTGTCCGGCTTTTGCGGGCTGCCCTTTCATTATGATGAACACGGCTTCGGATCGTGCTTCTTGGTGGGTTCGGGTTCCTGAGACTTTTCATCGTCCAACGTTGCATAGAGCTAAAACTCAGCGGTGAAGGTACGAAGCCAATTTGACGAAACGAAAGAATCATGTTTCAAGGGCTTGTTCGTTGTAGCGCCAGCTGACGCAGTCTGCCTTGTGCAGCTCTATTGGGCGCAGAATGATCCATGACGTCGAGGGCCATCTTTCCTTTCTGGCGCAACACCCATTCTTGGTTATCACGTTCGAGGGTTGTTATCAAGCCTTATAACATGCGTCCCACGCGAGTCCGCATCCATGATCATTACGTCGAAGACAGTGGACACTTTATGGGTTTCATGAGCACTCATGATCGCCCGCTTCTTCGAAGTACGCTTCTTTGAATCAAGCGATCCACTCGTCCTCCATCACATCGCGGTAAGACTTGCCAAGATCGAACAACGGGACGCGTCGTTTCATGAACTCATAATACATACATGCCGACACCAGCATTAGGAACAGACTCGACGCGCTTGATTGCAGCGCTTTGATCTGGTCCACATACTTGTCGTGGACGAACGCGCGCCGCGCTGCCTTGATTGAGCTCTTGAACGATTGAGGTGGCGGCAACGCCAGCGCGTTCAACAGCCGACCGTTCACGACATCTTGTCCCATGTCGTCGTCCTTAAGGTCATTTTCGGCTGCCGCACCAGCTGTTGTCTTTTATGGCTTCGCTGTCGGGGAAGGGGCGGGTACAAAATGCACACCACCAAATGAGAACCGCGTGTCCACCGGCTCCCGCGGGTTGCGTTTCGGCGGCTGGAATGGCGTCGCTATCACTCGACGGCAAGGGCGACCCTGCTCCAAAACCATTTGACGTACAACCGAATGTTCATGTCGTTTGCGGCGCTGTCGGTGAAACCTGCATTTTAAGTAAGGTTTGACTATTGTAGACACAACCTCTGGTTGTGCTCTAGCGGTGTTCAAGCGTCTTCATCGTTGTCCCATGGTACTGTACATCGTTGACCCATGGTACTGTACATCGTTGACCCATGGTACTGTAGTGTCGGATATTTTACAGATATCATTCAATGCATCCGGAGGTCATGACCCCGGTCACGTTGGTCTTTGTATGGGTAGTTTAAAATTGATGACCATGGCAAATTATTCGGGAAAATGATGTCGAGCCGATCAACGCAAAGTATTTAGGGTAGAACCGCTAACCATTTCGACCAGTTAAACGTCTTAATTATGATTTGATTGACCAATCAATCATCATTATTCATGAAAATTTCCTGAGAAACACACACACGTGTATTGAAAATACTCACAGTTAATGTGAATGCCGAGTTGTCGCGATTGTCGGTTGACAAATGATCCGACGCCTTTTCCTTCCTCTAACACACGAAGACCGTCGACCCACCACGTCTTGTCATTCTTGTGGAATTGGCACGCATACGTTGGATTGGATGGCAATTCTGAAAAGCTAAAATCATCCCTTCGTGATTGGTTGAAAGCCTTATATTTTAAATATGTTGATTGGCTATGACCAAAACAATGATATCTTGAATATCAAAGCGAAAACCTCTCACATTCCATTGTTATCCAGGATGTCAATCTGTTTGGTCATGACCGCAGTCATAAACCTCTGATAATTTTATGACCAAAATTGGTTCACAAGTGTACATTTCTTGAATGTTGGGAGATTGTAGGCAGATGAAGTGCACCACAGGTTTGGGGATTTTTCGTGTATATACTCCCTCCGATCCAAAAAGATTGCGCGAGTTTGGAATTTCCTGCATCCCTCCTGGAAAAAATGTTCGCCGCTCACCCTATATTTTGATATATATTG